AGAACTACCACTCATCAGGAGTTAATACCTAGATGGTTTAAATGTTTGGAAGTTAGGGGTGGCCATTTTGAACGTTTACCAAAAAAATTGTTTCTTGTTATGAAAGGTAAATATAAATCGAAGTAGCTTATTCTTTCCTGTTATTCATTTCACTGTATGTGTGCTTGTTTGGAAATCGACTAGCAAACTTATCATAATTAGTCTTTATATTATTCTCATTTGAAATACATATGTCAAAAACGGTTAGACTTGGGTATAGGAGATTATACATAAAATGTGATTAGAATTTTATGTAGAATCCGAATATTTATATATAATTTAAAATAAGCAAGTTGGCATCAACTTCCGTTATAACCGGATGTGCCACCATCTTGATAATATCTTAGCTGCCGTTGCCCAATCGACATTAGTATACTCCCAAATTTTCAAAAATATCATATGCCTACTTTTGGAGAAATCTATCGATGAAGTTCCCGATGCGACACCCTGTATTTACAAAAAACCTTTCTATTCGATTCTCTCGATTTTGTGTTTTTGAGGTCGCTGTTAAGGAACTTAGTATCGATTTATTCAAAATCAAAATGGTTGAAGCAGCGGTCAGCTGCAGTCGAAATTTCCATGTCTCTTAACTGGGTTTCTTAACAGAACAGACATGCTACTATTTGAGATAGCACGGACTCTTATGGACCTTTTCCTAAACTCTTTTTGAATTCACTACAAAACTTCGATATCCATTATGTCACATCTTAATGAAACGGGCTTATTGTAAAACGTGACACTTTTCGATTACAGACTTTTTCGACTCGGCTTCTCGTCATTTTGTCGTTTCTTTGCGACAATGAGTTTCTTAGAGGTCCGAACAGTTATTTAAAATGGACCTGTTCAGTTCTGTCCATATCTAGACAACACCATATTATTAAATTGCTTGGGTGACTGTATTTGTCGATCCTTGACAGTCAGAGGCCCTCGAACTACAATGCCCCCTAATATTTTGTGGAAACAACCTCATTATTGACCGGTCTACGCTGATTCACTTATAAAGCGTGCCTCTCTAAATTCTACATAACGAAAGGTTGGGAAAGCCACCTAACGCTCGGCGCAAGTTGCATACTTACGATTTGTATCGTGGAAAATTATGCAAACGAAAGATCAATTCTCTTCCGTTCCACTATGGCAACAGTAAGGGAGAAATCCCTCCTCGGGCTTATCAATATAATCAAAGGTAGTAAAAATGCATATCAAGCAATTAATTTTGGTTGCAGTTAATGCGCTATAGAAACAGAACTTCCCCGAGCTGAGCGAACTACTTTTTTGCGATTTTCCTTTTATTATTGACCGGCTGTAATGCCGTTTATGCATTTACCAAGTTAGCTGTGAATTACACGTTGTGTTCTAATGAGTCGGACGTAAATTCACGTTTTTATTCATTTACTTCCTTTGTAAGCTTAATTGCACGGATGTACCGAGTACTATTTCTTTCAAAACTCTAATAATATATTTCGTTATATAGTTGAACTCTGCTGCTGGTTAGTTTCTAGCATCATGCCGTGTAGCTTCTAATATTATACGCTAATCCTCTTATTCGTGGCGACACCTCGCGCATATCAGGACTCCGTACTCCACCCCAATATACTGAGCAAACTCATTATTCTCCGCGATGAGGAAAATGCTTGCCAATAAATATTTATTACATTTATTAAGCTGGGTCGGCTATGGTAGCTGCTGCTGTCTATAAAAGACTCTATCAACCCCATGCGATTTACGGAAAAACCAATCTAGGTAGGCAGCAATTGCAACGAGCTTTAATTTTCTTCGGTGTCCTCTCGATATCAGAAGCTTATACAGAAGATACGGAAATTTGCCTCTCAATACTTCATCAGAATTATTTATTTTTTATTGTTACTGAACTCTCACTAAAGCGGTCCTACACCAACCATCTAAGATGAGCTAATTATCAAGCAAAAGAGTTGGCGTGAAGTATGTTGACTCTGCATTTACCACAGAACGCTGTTATCAGTTCATAAAAGACCTTGCTCCATATAAGTTAGCTCCTCTTAGAAATCATATGTAGAACAAAGAAATTCATTAGATCAAGTCAGTCCAATAGACTCATACCATTAGTCTTCTGTCCCCAGAGCATAGTCCACTCTGAAATCTATCTTCCTTTTCAAATTGTGCATGCTTAACATAGTTTTGTCTTCCATATATAGGATTTTTGAGATTTAAAAGCCCCTTCCCCTGAGAGAATTTGCTAACCACGGTCAAGCCATCTTGAAGGATGGTACATAATCGTAACATACAAAAGTTTCTGCTAACGCTCATGTTTGCGGCCCAGAACTTCAAATGTGCTAATGTGCTATCCTAGCGCTAGCCGCCAACACTGTAACATACCGGGCTACCCAGACCCTCATTGCACTTGAACACTTTTTTATCATTTTGCCTTTTAAAGTGCAAATATTCGAGAGAAATATATCTAACAGGGGCGTTTCTGGGTTTATCAAAGCAATCAAATCAAATCAAAACCTTTATTTCCATACAGACAATATACAATTGTATTGGAAGTGTCAATCCTTCGTACGCAACTACAACTAATCTTAAGTTGCATTGTTCAAAAATTCATTAACATGATAAAAACCTTGGTTTATCAAAAATAGCTTTAAGTGGAACTTGAACTGACTAATATTTTTAACCGACGTAATATCACATGGTAAACCATTAAAAAGAAGCGGACCAGTTTGATTAGGCGATCGAAATGGTACTTTTGATTTGCTGAAGTTTACATATAGATTATTACAAGTCCTTGTATCATAATTATGCATATCACAATCAATTTCGCTTAAATTTATAATTTTTTAAACATATAAGCACATTTCATACTTCGAAGTTGAGTCATTTATTTTAACAGTGAGTAGATCTGATCAAAAGAAATGTTTTTTTCCTTTACCATTTTCCTGGTAAAATTAAAGTAACAAAGTTATAGCCCTTTGGAAGTTTGAGTACCGCCCTGTCTCAATAACAATATTATGTGGTCGTGTTTGGCGACAATGGATATAATCCGCCGTATCGGTTCATCGCATCGGAAACAAAAAAGCGAAAGAATTTGGAACGATGTTTTTACAAGTATCTCATTCATTTGTATACAGTTAGTGTCAGTGAATAGTGGTATGTGTTGCGTGGCTCAAACGAAATAAAAAATGGCACATGTTTATGCGGATCGGTTTCCCAATCGAGTGCAACCAACCCCTCGTGCCTTTGTTAATGTAGTACAACGGGCTTGTGAATCAGGTGACTTAAGACCTCACAGGGGACCTCACGATCAAATACAGGTCCGCACTGAAATACTTGTCGGGAGGATACTTTATAAAACAAGGTAAACTTTTTTTTTATTTTTTTTTTATTTTTACACACATATTTTGGTTTATCTTCCTTCTACATCCACACATTATTAAAGGTCAAAGGGCTTTAAAGCAGTGCAATCATTTTGAAATTTTTATCATTGACTTATTATGCTTCATTGAGTACTTATACAAAATTTTATTAAAATAAAACCATTTAAACTGGGTGTTCGGATTTATATGTCACTTAGTATATTTTCTATCGGTGGACATGGTATGCTAGTTTCTTGAATTTAGATGGCAGTATTTTATACCTCTGAAAACAGTATACCTTCCTGCACTTAGCTCATTAATTAATTTATTAAAATAACACATGGAATGTGTAATTCAAATCATTCTTTATTATCATAAAGTATAAAGTAAATGCAATACGACGTGAACATTGGAAACTAACAAACTGTTCATTTGGATACTGCATAGAGTAAAATGAGGGCCTTTATGAATTGATAACTCTATCTATCAATGACATTGTTCCCGGTTTGAGGAAGATTTTGATAAAAGTTGTGGAACATTTTTGGTACCCATTGCATTCTCTTTTGGAGGTCTTCGTATTTTTATCTGATATGGGCTTAGGTCCAACTCTGATCAAAAGGAATTTCTTCAGGAAAGATGACCGATCTTCGTGAAGTACGATTCAAATCCAAAACCTCGAAATCTCCATTCAATGTGTCCTTACAAAACATCTTGCCGGGATGGTCAGCATGAACCTGTATGTGAACTAACCGGGATATTTTGAAATCGTTTCCACTTTCAAATTTTTTTCTATGCAAAAAGGGTGAACTGGATCCCTCTATCAGTAACAAGAAATTTTTGAAATCGGTAGTCTCCATGTTAATCACCTCAAATGGATTACTGGTACTACAAATTCCCACCAGCTGTTGCCAATCCCATGGAGTCATGATTTGGAATTTAGTCATTCTTTTTCTTGCTCTCTCTATTAATGAATGATCACTATCTCCCTCTAGGTGAGTATGCCCCCTTAGAAGATATTTGTGATTTATTACTTTTAATGTTGGTATCTGCCTTAAAATTGTAAAGTAAGCTAAAACTGAGTTAATGTTACGATTTTGTGATGGACAGTTATCTGACCATATAGTGATCTCTTCAACGTCCTTGCCAACATTGACAAGAGTCCATTTGAGTAAGCAAGATGCCATTTGATTTCCCCCTCTACCTGCAACACTCTCATCCCACATACAACAAGTTGTATGATTTTTGAAGACATCTTTAATTGTGTAGTTGAATGTCCACAATTTTAAAGAATAGAAGCTTTACGCATTCGTTAAGGCTGGTGTTGGTAAGCATTTTTCTAGATCAACTGTCAACACCTTATGTTTTTTGTTTACCTTCGAGTTTGATTTATATTATCTTTTGAGGACATACCTGTCACTGGATTCAGTCAGATGCTGATCATACTCTCTTTGTACGACCATCCGTTCTTCAGGAGTCGACTGCTTCATTTGAACAAGATATCTGTCACACTGGTCACACCTGTCGTTATCGGGAACTTTAAATGAATAGTTGAATTCATTGTTAAATATCTCGGAGTATAGCCACAGCTTTGGAATATCAATTTCAGGAATTTTTTTATCCAACATTTCTTGTTTATAAAGCTCGTACATTTTTGATATATGTAGATAAGCTATTTTCGAGATATTTTTTGGATGAGCGCTCTCTACTGTAATGAGACTCTACTGTTGGAAACTTCAAAATATGGTCTCTTATGGTATCCTTTACCTCAGCATATATTTTATTTGGGGGAACCTTTGTCGGATTGAACCATACCACCTATGACTTTTTTACATAGAGCAGTAGGCACAAATAATAATAATAATAATAATAAATGCATTTATTTCCAAACAGTTCTCAAAAACAAATCAGAAAGAGAAATATAAGTATTAACCAAAAAAAAGGAAAATAAAAAAATAAAACAAATGTCGACTGTCTGAAAACCACAAGGGGGAGTTCACTATCTGGTGCTCTTCCACTCATCCCTTGAAATTGTAAGAAATATTATGCCAGTAAATGCATCCATCAAGCATATACAAACATCAATATGAACAGCATGTAAGTTTTTTTAAAAATAAGATAGAAAAGTGAGAAATGTGGTAATGAATTAAAAAAAAAAGTCTAGAATAATATATAGATATATATATATATATATATACCCATACATACCGCATAAACAAACGCCAATATGAGCGACAATTAAGTTTGAAAAAAAAGAGCAAAGAGAAAACTTGGTGGTAAATTTAAAAGTCTAGAAGGATATATAAATACATATACGTACATTATGCATCATATGAAAAAAAATATAAATAAAATAATGGAATGCAAACAAAATAAAATTGAAATTCCGCAGTAAGAATAATTCTACTTTATACATTCAAGGTAAGAATCACGCAAAACCGCTTTGAACTTGTGAATTTCATATGATTTGAGATTCTGGGGGATAGGATTGTATAGAATATATATTATACGTAAACGATCTTTCATAAAATTTAGTTCTGTAGAATGGAGCGGTAATGTTTTGTTTCGAACGAATGGTTGCGAAATTCCTAAAGTGTTCAAAAAGAACGATTTACAGACCTCAACTTGAATTCCATCAATAGTGAAGTTGAATTTTCTATTGGAAGTTTTCTTATTATTTTCCCTTTACCCAGTTCTTTCACGCCTCCTTTTGATTGGAACTAATTGTACACATGAAGCAACAAATTGTCGTTTAAGGTCGATGGTTTTGGAAAGTGACCAAAGCTGTTCAAAGATACCCTCGCGCTCGATCTGGAGAACTTTTTTAGAGCATTGGAACCTGCACTTATCTTTACAAGATGGGCCCATAGATTTGGCCTTAACTACAGTATTGCGCTTAGAAATATAATGTTCACCAGAAAGGGATTTACGTTTCCTCACATTACATTTCCATTTAGCTCTATTCCTCTGACGCTTCTTTGTCGTTGCCGGTTCTGACACGTTTTCCTCATTAGCTGAACCTAAATGTCTCTCAGAGCTGTCGGTGCTAGTAGTACTATCTGAATTTACAAAATCCGGATCTTGTATGCTGTCATCCGAATTCTCAAAAGTCAGACCTTTTTCATCTTCCATGTTATCGACGGATGCTTTTTGCCTCCTTTTAGCTAAAACAAAAACGGTAAAAAAATATTAAAAGGTATTGGGAAGAAATTGTTCACCTTTGTCACTATTTGATGTATCGCACCGAAGCTCCGGAGCAGCTGTTAGATTCATATTACTAGATTGGATTAAGCTGGGCGAAGATGTTTTTATCGATTAGTCCACCTCCTACAGTGTCATACCTCACCCCCCTTGAAATGGATCCATACCGCTGCGAACGAAATTAGGGCTGACACGGATATGGTCTGCCGCTCAACACGACACATTGTTTTAAGAACAAGAATGTGCATAACCAATAATGGAGGATATTTTGAACAGCTCCTGTAACACTAAACATGTCCAAACTCTCTATAAGAAACATTGATTTGTCATTTTTATGTATAGGTATAAAGTTTGAAAATATTTTGCATTTTATTACACCCATTTTGACCCATGCTAGATAGCATGTATTGCTTAATGTAGAATACTTAGGATAACAAAAATCTGTAGAATTAACACAAAAAAGGTAAAACTTCACAGACTAGTTTTTGAATGGTGTGCGGAAATGCACAATATGATCAATTTTCTTCCACATGTTTTTCTATTTTTGTCTGTTTTTAAGTATGTTTGACCGTTAGTATCAAAACAAGTTTTTCAATAATCGCTAGGACAACATGTCATCGTTCAATTGACACCAAATTTATCATTCTGTGACAATTACGTACTCAGTTATTACAATTTTCATAGATGCACTACCGTAATCGTAACGTAATAATAAAAATGGCTATCATTTCAAGGGGGATGAGGTAGGGACATTGTAGGGGGGTGGATTTGTCGATAAAAGTAGCTGAAAAATACCCCTCCTAAACATCAGTATGTCGCAACCACACACATTGTATATATACGTATATATATATATACGAGCCCCTTCCCACTTCAGTTAGCTCACTATTGAAATCTTTTGTGCAATCATCAAGTGGCTTCACGATGTATTGCTTTCATGTTTTTAAAAAAAAGTTTAATCTGTGTTTAACTTGTTCTTGTCACACAATTGTGTATATTTTATATAATTTTGACCATTGTACCATCTATCCAGCTTTCACCATGTTACTGGGCGTTTCCCTCATCCTAAACGTAAACAACAATTAGCAACATCCTCACATACTACTCTCCTGATGATGATGGCAAAGTCCATTGAAAGCTAGAGAGAATTAAAAAAAGTATAAAGAGTCCTCTTTGCTTAAATTTTGTCGAAGTATATATATATATATATACAGGGTTATCCAAATTAAGTGTCCACCATTAGTAACTTTGTTATTAGTGAAAATACAAAGTTGTTTGAATTAGCAGACTAGTAGCATTTTTAACGCTGCTAAAAATGAGAAATAAAAAAAAACAATTGAGAGTCGTTATTTTGATTTTTTTCAGTAAAATAACATTTTTTTAAATGGAAACTCCTGTATATTATATTTTTTTCTGTTAAAGCATCAAATTTTAAACAAAAAAACTTTCAATAACTTTTCTCCTAGGTTACAAATTGTTGAAGTTATGGCCTCCAATCTGAAACAATTAAATTGTATCGACAAACTTTATTTTCAACATCAACTTATAATCTTACAAAATACAGTAACAATTTTTTTTAAAGAAGATGCTCGAAAACACCACCTTGTTCTTCAATACATTTTTGGGCACGTTTTTCAACTGCTCGAACTGTCTTAAGTATGGTCCTACCATCTATCTGGGTTATCTTTTCCCTAACTGCAGTCTTTAACGCGTCAAGGTTATCGTACCTTCGCTTGTAAATTTGGTTCTTTAAGTAACCCCACAAGAAGTAATCAAGTGGGTTTAGATCTGGTGATCTGGGAGGCCACTGTATTGGGCCATTTGTTCCTATCCACTGATCATTAAAAGTAGTACTTAGAAAATGATAAGTACCTCTGGAGTTGTGGGCAGGTGCGCCATCTTGCTGAAATTGCAGATGATGTCTACTTATAAGATCCAATTCGTCTAAGAAATTAGTCAGAAATTCTGACATAAATTCCACATATCTTTCACCAGTTAGGGTTCCCTCATAAAAGAACGAAGTATGTGAGGATGTTGCTAATTGTTGTTTACGTTTAGGATGAGGGAAACGCCCAGTAACATGGTGAAAGCTGGATAGATGGTACAATGGTCAAAATTATATAAAATATACACAATTGTGTGACAAGAACAAGTTAAACACAGATTAAACTTTTTTTTAAAAACATGAAAGCAATACATCGTGAAGCCACTTGATGATTGCACAAAAGATTTCAATAGTGAGCCAACTGAAGTGGGAAGGGGCTCGTATATATATATATATATATATATATACAATGTGTGTGGTTGCGACATACTGATGTTTAGGAGGGGTATTTTTCAGCTACTTTTATCGACAAATCCACCCCCCTACAATGTCCCTACCTCATCCCCCTTGAAATGATAGCCATTTTTATTATTACGTTACGATTACGGTAGTGCATCTATGAAAATTGTAATAACTGAGTACGTAATTGTCACAGAATGATAAATTTGGTGTCAATTGAACGATGACATGTTGTCCTAGCGATTATTGAAAAACTTGTTTTGATACTAACGGTCAAACATACTTAAAAACAGACAAAAATAGAAAAACATGTGGAAGAAAATTGATCATATTGTGCATTTCCGCACACCATTCAAAAACTAGTCTGTGAAGTTTTACCTTTTTTGTGTTAATTCTACAGATTTTTGTTATCCTAAGTATTCTACATTAAGCAATACATGCTATCTAGCATGGGTCAAAATGGGTGTAATAAAATGCAAAATATTTTCAAACTTTATACCTATACATAAAAATGACAAATCAATGTTTCTTATAGAGAGTTTGGACATGTTTAGTGTTACAGGAGCTGTTCAAAATATCCTCCATTATTGGTTATGCACATTGTTGTTCTTAAAACAATGTGTCGTGTTGAGCGGCAGACCATATCCGTGTCAGCCCTAATTTCGTTCGCAGCGGTATGGATCCATTTCAAGGGGGGTGAGGTATGACACTGTAGGAGGTGGACTAATCGATAAAAACATCTTCGCCCAGCTTAATCCAATCTAGTAATATGAATCTAACAGCTGCTCCGGAGCTTCGGTGCGATACATCAAATAGTGACAAAGGTGAACAATTTCTTCCCAATATCTTTTAGTATTTTTTTACCGTTTTTGTTTTAGCTAAAAGGAGGCAAAAAGCATCCGTCGATAACATGGAAGATGAAAAAGGTCTGACTTTTGAGAATTCGGATGACAGCATACAAGATCCGGATTTTGTAAATTCAGATAGTACTACTAGCACCGACAGCTCTGAGAGACATTTAGGTTCAGCTAATGAGGAAAACGTGTCAGAACCGGCAACGACAAAGAAGCGTCAGAGGAATAGAGCTAAATGGAAATGTAATGTGAGGAAACGTAAATCCCTTTCTGGTGAACATTATATTTCTAAGCGCAATACTGTAGTTAAGGCCACATCTATGGGCCCATCTTGTAAAGATAAGTGCAGGTTCCAATGCTCTAAAAAAGTTCTCCAGATCGAGCGCGAGGGTATCTTTGAACAGCTTTGGTCACTTTCCAAAACCATCGACCTTAAACGACAATTTGTTGCTTCATGTGTACAATTAGTTCCAATCAAAAGGAGGCGTGAAAGAACTGGGTAAAGGGAAAATAATAAGAAAACTTCCAATAGAAAATTCAACTTCACTTTTGATGGAATTCAAGTTGAGGTCTGTAAATCGTTCTTTTTGAACACTTTAGGAATTTCGCAACCATTCGTTCGAAACAAAACATTACCGCTCCATTCTACAGAACTAAATTTTATGAAAGATCGTTTACGTATAATATATATTCTATACAATCCTATCCCCCAGAATCTCAAATCATATGAAATTCACAAGTTCAAAGCGGTTTTGCGTGATTCTTACCTTGAATGTATAAAGTAGAATTATTCTTACTGCGGAATTTCAATTTTATTTTGTTTGCATTCCATTATTTTATTTATATTTTTTTTTCATATGATGCATAATGTACGTATATGTATTTATATATCCTTCTAGACTTTTAAATTTACCACCAAGTTTTCTCTTTGCTCTTTTTTTTCAAACTTCTGGGAGGCCACTGTATTGGGCCATTTGTTCCTATCCACTGATCATTAAAAGTAGTACTTAGAAAATGATAAGTACCTCTGGAGTTGTGGGCAGGTGCGCCATCTTGCTGAAATTGCAGATGATGTCTACTTATAAGATCCAATTCCTCTAAGAAATTAGTCAGAATTTCTGACATAAATTCCACATATCTTTCACCAGTTAGGGTTCCCTCATAAAAGAACGGGCCAACAATTTTTGAACCAATTATACCGCACCAAACGTTGAAACTGAAACGGACTTGTGGGCCTCTTGGATGTACTAACAAAAGATTTTCTCTTGACTAATAATGGTGGTTTTTTCTATTAAACATTCCAGAATTTGAAAAATTTGATTCATCTGTCCATAAAAGGTAACGAAAGTTATTTACATTTTGGCGACAGAAGCTAAGATACCAATGGCAAAAAACAAGTCTTCTCTCTGGATCCCCTGCCAAAAGCGTTTGAACTGGTCGGTACTTATACGGAATAAATTTGTATTTTTTTAAAATCCTTTGAACAGTACCATAACTGAAATTAGAGTCCTTGAGAATATCTGCTATTGAATTCTCACGATAAGCTTCAAAATATCCAATAAC